TTATTGTTTTATTTAAAAAATACTAAATACAATTTAATTTTCCAGGCAAATTTGCCTGGAATACAGTTTAAGGGATATCTCAAAGATAGGAACTTTAACTTAAAAAAATAATAATAATAATAATATAAAAAATTATACAAACTATAACAATCTTTATGAATAAACAGACTTAGGCATAACTTTATCTTAAAAATTAAAAATCAGTATTTAACTAAATAGAATTTCTCTCAGCATATCAAAACTGACAAATTTTACTTATTATTTAATTTTCTCAACTACTACATCTAATTGCATCTTTTATTAAAAAATAATAAGTTAAAAATAAAAATGATTACCAAAGTTTGTTTCATTACATATTACAAAAAATTTTATATAATGTGCCGATATTTACTAATAAAAGTACTTTAAAAATTACAATTAACGTTAACTGTATAAAATAAAGATCGTCACGACAAATCAATTAGTTATACCTGTATACGACTGTATGACTGTGAGATAGGGGACAGACATATTAATTGACTGTCACTAACAGTAATTCAAACAACGTATTTTAATGTTCAATGTTAATAAGCAGTTTTTATTAAGTTTTTTTTCGAAAAACGGATTAAGATAAAATATGAAATATTGATTCTATGGTAAAAGAAAAATTTTAAAGGCATCACAATCATTTTAAATATGTATTTTCACAAAAAAAATCAATATGTAAAGATACCACAACTTGTCAAAAATTATGTATATATGTATATATTTATAAAGAAGTTAGAAAGCTTTCGCCTTGCCTTTCCATTTTCTTGAAGGACCCCCTCCTAGCTGTGCGCCACGGTTATTGCATGCAACCTCAATTTCAGAGACCATCTGGCTCGCTAATTTTGCGATTGCTGAATTTTTTTTGTTGTAAGCCACAGCGTTAATCGCAATCTGGTCCAAATCACTCTTGAAACCCTAAATTAAGGAAATATATTAATATAACCTTTTTTGTTAAGCAAAAAAAACAAATAAAGTAAATTTTACCTGTTTGCATCTGTAAAACCCGTTACGAACACGTTGAAGCATCATATCCAGACACATAGGGTATGGAACATGATCAAGGTAATCTGCGTATCGAGCAAAGTCCACATGTTCGTGGAAAAGAACATACTCTTCGTTTTCGATAAACTCCGTCAATACTTCATCGAATACTCTCTTTTCGTCTTCAGTTAATTGGCTACAATCAACCTCTGGTGCTCCACTTTTCCTAATTTCCCACGTGAAAAAGTCTGAAGGATCTTGGCCTTCTTCATCCCTACGTATACACATATTAATATATGACTAAAATCAAAGAATACATTTATACTAACAAGGAATAATTCAAAAAAAAACCCCCACATACCATTGAACTAAATATGTGGGAAATTTACACCAAGAGTTTTCATCCAACGGATTAATTTTGGCGATAGTGCCAGAGAAGTCGGTTGAATCAAGACGAACTACTACCTTTTCATCAACTTCAAAACTCTGGTTAACACCAATGACGAATCGCTTATACAAGACAAGGAATTCGCAAACCCCCTCGATATCAAAATACGATATATCTATTTTTTTGTTGGTTTGTTGAAAACCCGGCTCCATGGGGTACAGAGAATCATCAGTCGGTGTATATTCCAGTATAACGCATGAAACAGTAGCGTATGATGGAGGCCCAGAAGACCATTTAACGTCCCGTATTTCAACAAATTCAATATCGTTAAGTTGATAGCGGTTGTATGGAAGTGCATTAATATTTGATTTCTTGGATAGATCCTTTACGAGCTTAGAATCAACAAACTCCATTGCTGATCTTTCAACAAATGTTCGATGGCCCTTATAGAAGTAAGCAACAATATCACCACGTTGAGGAATATAAATTGACTTGGGATTAACACTTTTAATCCATTCTGGACGATTATCAACAACATCGCCAACTGCTTCCAAAATAGCAGCGTCGACGTCATCGTGGTCATCAGGATTCCTGAACGCATCCGGTGAAGTCGGATCCGCGCCAGAGATGTCTGCAGATTCATCTTCGTATATGTCATCCGATGGTGTTGAAGGTTCATCAGAGGAACTATCATAATAATCTTTATAATCAACACGTCTCCTTTTACGCCTAGACTTCCGAGATGATCTTACAACAGACTCTTCATAATCTGAATCATTATGTACACGTTTCGTCCTTCGTGTTGACATAGCACGAGCCTTCTTGCTTCTTGTCTTACGAGGCTCAAAATCGCTGCCTTCGCCAATGGATTCATAATATTCGTCCATTGATATATTGTTTACAATTTCTATTGAATTGCATGATCCATCACTGTCGCTATCTGACCTTTCATTGTCTGTATGGCCAGGTTCGTAATCAGGGTCAATATCATCATCAGGTAATGGAATAATAGGTTCTTCGATTGCTAACGGATCAATGTCCATGTAATTATCTTCCTCTTCCTCTTCTGGAATTTGAATTTTCTTACGACGCAATGATACCTCTTTCTTATTTAAAACCACCCTAATGATAGAATGATATACATTATCTCATCTGCATGCATTATACAAACAAAGATATATATAGATATAATATTTATGCAATATTTACTTCACTATTGCACCCTGTTGTAATCTATTATACAGTGTTAAAAGCATGTTTACATTAATATGAAGTTAACACCAACTTTAGCATGACAAAAAAAGCTACTACTTGTTAACTTCTTCAATTAAAATTTGCTTTTTATTTTCAATATCTGGTTTAAGTCTCTTACTTGAAAGACGTGACCGTCTGCCTTGTGCTATTATAATATTATGCATCGTGTAGAAATTAGTATAAAAAAAAATACACATATAATACATATAATAACATTGAATTTATATATTACCTAACGAAATAGGAACTTGCCGCTCATACGGAACGCTACCCAAGCTCAGTACTTCTGTTTGTTGTGATGGGTCAATGGGCAACTGTTATGCAAAATAATTAGTCCGTAATTCTTTTAAGATATGTGTACGTATATAAACAGGTGCAATAAAACTCACACCACTATCGTTGTCAATAAACGTCCATTCTTGTTCGGAGAATACCACGGATCTTGTCGTATAATCTTCGAAGAATCTCTGCCCATTTTTTGCACGGATACGATATTTATCATAATTGCACGTCTGATCGATTCCGATAAGATGGCACTTCCCCCTGCCGTCAGTTACAGCAAACATTTCTCCTAAAAAAGTATCAATAATTGAGTTTCACACAATTTTCTTTTTTTTTTTTTGAATAAAAGAGAATACATACCATCATCACGGAATCTTCCATCAAGAACCTCAAACTTGTCACCAAGAAACTCCAAGTTACTCGGATCCCAGACTTGATAGTTATGAAATAGTTCATTAGTAATGATAATATAAAGCTATTTAGCATATATAATAACATACCCTTTATAGAGCGGCCGTTAGTAATATCCCACATTACAATACGGCCATCATACCCTGCAGACATCATCACACGAGAATCATGTGGATGAATATCTAGTACAAAGATTTTATCATTGTGTGCATTTATTCTAACTCTAACTTCTCCATTTTCGCTATCAAAGATTGTAATAATGCCGTAATTATTTCCAATTATCACTTTAGTATCGTCGAGACTCCAACGCATAGAAGTCACCTTTGTGTTATTATTAGATCCTCTAACGTCCAAAATGATTGATGTCCACCGTTTAAATACATAATTATATTCCCAAACACGTGCAGTACCATCTTCCGCCCCTGATAATAACCTGTTGCTGCGATGTGCAAATTCAAGACTATTAACAATGGCAGTATGACCATCTAGATCAGCAATATGAACCGGATCGAAATAATTCGCAAGATTCATTAAATTTGGATCGTCATCATCGCCATTTTGGGCAGTAGCAGGCGTTATTACATTATTTGTATAATTTATTGATCGAGATGATGTTATATTGCGTCCCGGTGAGGCCGGTGCACTTGCGTTCGTTCTACGATTATTGTTACGATTTATTCGTCGATTGGTGATGTTTACAGATAAAGTATCCGAGGCTTCTCCAGCTGAACTGATATAACCTGGTGAAACTGGAGCTGATACACTAGCATTGTTCCTAGAATTTTGGTATCTTGATCGTGATCTGGCGACTTGTGTCATAGGTCCTGATGAAGATATTAGTAATGGTCTCGAAGTTTTATTGTTAGATCTTGATGGTGTTACATGTCTCGTTTGAACAATTGGACTTGATGTAGACTGTGAAACTATTGTGACGGAAGACTGCGTTGTCGTGCTTGATTGAAGGTTCTTTAAGCTTGAATGTGATGTTGACTCTAAAGAAATGTTACCGCTCGACGATGGTACAGTGGTAGCAACTGGCTGTTTTGACATCGATGGGATAGCATTGTAATGTTTTGATAAAGACGAAATTGTTTGCCTATTTTGTATCGGTGCTACAAATTCCTTTTCAGCAAATTGAGTAGTGCTTTGGCCATTGAATGACTTTACGCCTGCAAGAAGGAGACTACGTGCCATATCCATATTCATGTCAGCAAAAAGATCATCATCGTTACTTGAATTGTCGCAATTATTACTTTTGTTATCGTTACTGTTGTTATTATCATTAACAACTCGAGTCGACTTGCCAATCAGGTCATCATCAGAATCATCAGAGTCCTCAGGATCAGACGATTGTTTTATTATTTCGACAAGATCAAAAGGCTTTTTTGCTTTTTTGCCCTTTTTATTATTATGATCATACAAGGCAGTACCACCGATTGTTGAATATACGCGAACAAGCCCATCAGTACCAGAAATTGCAAACATAGAGCCTGTATAGTTGAATGATGTGCATTTCATTCTATTGTTTGACCCAACTGCATTCACAGGTTTTATTTTAGAAGTAGGCCCAAAACTATTGTCAATATCATCATATTTGCACACCCACGTATGCCAGTTGTCCGAAGTCGCGATCAAGTAGCGATTCTCAGCAATCGGAGTCGGGGAAAAAAGGATTGATGTCGCCATTTCGTCCTGTAAACAAACATTTAAGGAACTATATTGTAAGTTGTAGAATAATCAACAAAATTCGAAGATTACATACCATCGCGAACCGATGTACTGCAGTATATGTGTCAAGACTCCATACGACAACCGTTTTGTCATTTGACGACGTAGCAAGTAAGTCATTCTTACAGTTGATAGACATGTCCACTATTGCTTTTGTATGCTAAACATAAACATTTGATATCAAAGCATTAATAAAAGAGTTGGTAGAAATATTATAATAATAATAGATATGTGTATATATGCACCCCATATAATGCCCGTAGCAACGATCCAGTACTTGTGCACCATACACGGATCAATGAATCATCACTTCCTGTAAAAACCCTTCTGCCTGTCTTATCAAATATCACACAATACGTTGGTTGATTATGACCATCGAGCGTCGTCAATTGCTTCCAGCTATTATAATATACTGGGAGTGGACTATCCTTTGTAGGTCGTGGACCTCCCAGTTCCATTTGGTGAACAGCAATTTCTATAAATAAGTTGGAAAAACATTAATACATTTATGAATTATGGGAAGAGAAAAAATAATAAATAAATAATAAATAATAAATACCTGTTTTTTGATTAACCTGTCCACAGAAAATAGTTCCTGGAGTTAAATTTACAGCCTCTCGAAACTTTTTATTGGAATTTGGATTGTCTGGTTTGGCGGTTTCTGAATAAATACGCCTAAATTCCGATTCATAGTCATCTGCATGTTTCATCTGAAAGATCAAATTGTTCACATTATAACTCAATAAAATAGCTATGATATCAAGAATTAACGTGTTAATCATACCAATTGTTCAAATGACTGAACATGTTTGTTTCCTTTGTGATCAGTTCGTAATGGAAGTAGATGTGGCTTCCTTGATATATCCTCTTTGAGAATTTCAAATGCGCGCTGTGTATCTGGACGCTTTTGTAGAGTAATAAGTGTTTGGAGAAGTTGCACTACATTTATCCAACAAATGTATTCCAAAAATTTTTAGTCTTTAAATAATAATAATCATCTTTTATATAGGTGCAGTCGATGAAACAACTTGGGCTTTTTTTTGCGCAAGAGGTATAAAATAATAATAATAATGGTAATAACTGTTCAGTAACATCCATAACCTCTCTATATTGATATTAGGCAACAGGTCCGATAAGAATGTTTTTTAGACGTACACCGCTAAATAAATCCTTTCCTCAATAATAAACTACACCTAGCTCTTAATCTACGAATTTCGATACGGACCCCTTATCACCGAAATTTTTCGAATTACTTACCACGTTCATATTTTTCTTCTCTTGTTTCCTCCACCTTTTGATGAACGGTATCTTCGTCTTCCGAGCTCCATGAAGATTTCATTCGTTTCTTATTTCTCCCGTGGGAAGTAAATATAATATTATGGGAATCTTGTGACATATCGGGGTTATTATTAAATTACTCTTCGATAATAATTCAGATTTAAGGTAATGATATTGGTAGTATTTTAGTTCATTAGGATATGGAAATTGGAGCTAGTTAAGACCAACGTCAATTGAAAAAATAACAGATAATACGAGTTCTCTACGTACATACGTACTAGCGACTTTCTGTCATACATAAATAATGTGTACACCGGGTGACATATTATCATGCAAATAAGGGACACGTGTGCTATAACCTAAATTACAAAATTAGACTCATCATATAAATAAGACAATATCCAATTATCAATTAGATTGTTTTTTTTTTTTTATTAGATGTGATGTATAGTACAAATTCGAACGTTAGCGTCAGTAATAAAACTCTATATTACAGTATTAAACGGTTACTCGCATTTCGATTGTGATCGATCGCTCGCATTTTTCTAGAAAATAATACGTTTCGCGTATTTTCCGAATTTTTTCATCTAATTTTAGATAACCCAAATTATTACCAAATAACAATATTTACTCTGCTCTCACATGTTTTTATTAGATTTTTATGTTTTGTATATAAAAATTTTTAACTGTCGTTAGGTTTAGTATTTAGACTTGAAAGAGTTTTTGGGAGCGTAAAGCATTTTTACTTAAAACAGTATGCACCAATTAGATAATTTTTAATATGATATACGTATATATATACAGTATATACTCAAATAACTTCTTTTTTTTACTTTGGCAGCCTTGCCGTAAACCTTTAAGATTTTTGTGCGTAAATAATGCATATTTTGACTTAAATTTTCTGGTCCGACATCATCTTATTGCTTTTATAAATGTTCAGTTTGCTATATCAGTTGAAGATTTATCTGTATCCAGGAGTTATATCAGACTATTCAAGGAGGTCATGCAAATGATCTTAATTTATTACAAATAAAATTCTTTATTGAATCAAATCATATTTTTTGAATTTTTGTTTTTTTCATTTTTTTTTATTATTATAATCTGGTTTTTTCTTATATTAACTGATCTTTCTTTATAATTAGTTTTGTTTTTGTCTTTTGTTAATTATATTTTTGCAATATTCTTTTTTCTTTTTGTTTTTTTTTTATAAATTAAATGTTATATATATATTTTTATAAAGTTGTTTTATGTTATATTAATTGTTATAATTAGAAACTTTTTTATTTTTTTTAATGATTAAATTATGCCTTGCAATGTTTTTATTATTTTCTTTCTACTACACTTTTGATTATTCTATATTTTGTTTTAATTTTCATTTTAGCTTGCATACTTCAAAGTATTTTCTTAAATTACATTTTGTTTATTTTTGCCTAAACTTTACTTAATAAACTTATTTGTTAGTTAATTAAAGATTTTGATGTTTTTATATTAGTTTTATAATATTTATATGTTATATTTTTTTCTTAAGCAATCATATTAGTACTTTATTAAGATTTTGAAATTATATTTGCAATTATATAAATATTTTTAATAACTAAGTTTAGTATTATCTGTTTATTTTACTAGTATCTAAATACAACTTGTTGCATTACTTCAAACAAAAGTAAGCTGCTTGTCTAATTATTTAAAGTTTATAGTAAAGAGGTCTTCTTTTTTTTATAACAAGGCTTAACATTGTCTTTCTAGTTTCTTTTTTGATTTGTTTTTCTTTTTTCATGTTTTTTTTTTCATTTTTCATTTCTTGTTATAAGTCATATCATTACTTCTAATACATCATATTTTATAAAATAAATTAAAAAGCTTATTAATAATATTAAATCTAATGATTGTTATTTTAAACTATAC